GGGAATAGTTATGTCTATTCCCAGATATCTAAACCTTGATTCCTTCTTTATTATGTTTCCATCAATTTCGATTTTACATCTCAGTGGGTATTTAGATGTCATATATTTGGTTTTTTCTGCTGATACTATCATATTATATTTCTTGGTTGTTGTATTAAAGATGTGTGTTAGATGTGTGTTAATCTTTGGAGCTCGTCTTCAGTCTCGGTCAACATAATATTTGGATTTCTTTGTTCCCTATTCTGTATCCATGACCTTTACGTACTGCTTGTATTATTTCGTCCATTATTATAAAGAGAAGTGGGCTTAACGAGTCACACTGTCTGACTCCGCTTTGTACTGGTATACACTACGTTAGTTTTCCATTTATCTTTGCCTGTATTCGTTTGAGGAAGTAGATGTTTTTGATGGTTTGTATAATATACAGTAGGTTTTAATCTATTCCTAGAATTTTAGTGCGAAATGACTCAGTTTCACCTAAATGATAAAATAGATTTGAAAAAAATTTGTTTGATTTTTAGTTTTATTCATTTGGTTGCCTTCTGTCTCCCATACATACAAACTGATTGCCGAGCGACCCAAAATTATTATTTTTTGTCTATAGACAAATCGTATCCCCCATTTCTTCATTTGTAAAATGATTGTGACGTGGAATTTCAATCAAAAAATAATGTCAGCTTTAAAAAAATGCAACAATACACTACAATATCACAACAAGAAAATATCTTACAAAAAGTGACATTTACAAACAACATTATTTGACAGCTTGAAGCACCTAAACTATTTAAATGGTTTTTTTTTTCGAAAACTGTTGAAATCATGTTTAAACATGATTGCCAATATTTTAATAAATATTTCATCATTAAGAATAATTCACGTGGCGTCTCCTTTTAGAAAATGTGGAATCATACATGAAATAATATTCCTTGTCTAAAGTTTTGTCGCTGTGTCTATTTCATAACAATTTAAAAATAAACAATAAAGTTAGTAGTGGCAAAGTAAAAAAAAACAGTTTAACAAACTGTATCTTTTTCCACAGGAACATTTTATGTATTTATATGTCTAAATCCAAATAACTGAACCTTAGTCTATTGGTTCTTTTCGTTTTCTAACCATTCATAGTTTAGACATTTTTTGCAATCTAAAGCTAAATGTGTTCCAACTGTACCTATGATGAAACGATGACGAGACTGACAGATTAGGTATGATCTGCTAAACAGTAACATTCTACAAGTTTTTTGTGTTTGTGTACAGTTTACAGTGTTGCCTTTTCTTTAAGATGTCATTGGCAACCTGAGGTAATTTTATATTTTAAGATAACGAACACTAAACGTTGACCAGTTCATTGTTGTTATACCCGCTTGTAATAAAAAGTCTCTTATATAGCGGTCGACGTGTGGGTGCACATTATTCTTAGAATTATCATTAGAATGAAATTATCTCCAATATATGGGGCAAAAGGTACCACATGGTCTGGAAGAATATCTCGGATGTACTTATTTGCTAGTAGTGCTCCACCAACAAATCTATCACCACTAACTCTCTGCCCGTGCCGCCACACCATAATTGGACCTCCACCAAAAAGTACACTAGTAAAATTAAGGAAAGTAAATTATATATCGCATATTTAAACTTGGGGGGGGGGATAACTGGTGATCAGCAGTTTGGGTCCCGAAACGGTATGGGTACTCGGGAAGCTCCTTTTTGCATACAAATATTCTTACAAAAGAGCATTGTCTTGTAGAGTCGTACAAGACGAGGAGATTTGCAATTCTAGACGACCACTAAACGCCCGTCTGCGGAGCTGAATGCAACAACGAAGGAACTTGGGCGGTGGGGAGAGACCTACGCGATTGAAATCGGGTCGACGACTTCGAGCGTCGACCCATGTGCGGACGGCCTAGGATGGAGACTGATCGAAAAGGCCAGTTTTTGTGTCCACCCCTGTAAAAATCAATGCAGTTAATGGCATTACTGAGGCAATGAGTATTTGCTAAGAATGCGTCTTATCATATGAATTCGATATGGGCACGAGAAAAATTTCTACAAAATGTGCAGTGTTTAAAAAAAGCCGTGTTACTATGGATAAAACTTTAGTACATTTCTCCAAACCAGAAACAAAGCAATCGACGAAATGTGGACACTCTGGTTATCCAAGGCCAATCTTCGATCGATTGCTGCATTTTTTGTGGATAGTTAAAATATACTTAAAGTTTCGTCTGTATTGGGAAAACAGCTTAAGAAGCTTTGTATCATTTTTTAGAAACTTTTTTCATGTCAAAATCGACGTGAATTATATGATAGATGCGTTCATATGGAATATTAAGTGTTTCAGAATTCGTCTTAACTTTCTTAGACGATCTGATAACATCAAGACATGAATAGGATGGATATTAACAGGAGTTTACGATGGGTCGTCAACTTCAATGCAAAATATATTTCTAAGTTTGCAATTCAATTTTTCAGAGTCGCATATGAACGACTTTACTCATCAAGCATATTAAACATATATCTTCGTAAATCTGGTTCCTCTTAATTTTTAAAGCTTTTATAAACAATTCATTCCTATAAATGATTGAGTAGTGGTGATTAATATATTTTCAAGCGTGGAGGGGCTTGGAATGAATTAATTGAAATATCTTAAAACCTTTTTACGATTAGATTTAAGTGTACACATAATTGCGGTATACTTATATGTTTATTATTAAAGAATATAGTACAGTAATTAGAAAATAAGTCGTTTTTTAGAAAAGTGTGATTTTTCTTATAATGCACTGTTTTTAGTAATGTTTTTAAAATGTTCTATAATGAATGTATTCAAATTACTAATGTTTTGAAAAGGTCCTCAAAGTATTTTGCCATATTTCAAGAATAATATATGCCGAGTATACTACCTAGATGAATGTATTGAATTCTGGAATTGAGCTATACGAACTATTGAGATCTATAGCTAATTTAATGACCATTTTTAAATGTACCATTTTATAAAAGTCATCATCATTTTATCGTCCACTAAAATAAGTGAGTTTTCAACCTAGGGTAAAGCATAAAAACTAGAGTGTTATACTAGTTAAGACATTAATAAAATTATAAAATGGACAGCTGGGCAATGATGCAAAGAGATAAATCTAGAAATCAAGTGAGTGAAATGAGATTTCTCAGCAAAGTGAAATCCGTTATAGGACTTGATTAATAAATAAATAAAGACTTAGACAAGAAGTGAATATCTACTCAATGAAAAAAATAAGGGAATACAGAACAAAATGGAAATAACATGAACATAATGGACAAACATTTGTTAAATAAATACCAAACCACAAAACAAAAGAAATAAGTACCTATAACAAATACCTAAATGAAGAAGATTGATGAATTATGTAAGCTCTATTTGACCGAGAATGGAGGCACCTTCACCACGAGAAGATCTCACTGTCCTCGAAGGGTTCTTTTCTTGCAACCGTCTGTTCTACATTAGTCGAGCACTGCAACCAATTGGTTTACTGTACATGTTCGATTAACTACTACATATCCTGGCCCTGGTATACCCAGGCTCCATATTAAGGCTGAATTGAACTCATTTTATTATTTTTAGTTAAATTCTCAGCCAACAGCCTTTGTTGAGACTTGCTTAATATATATGCATCTTTAGAGTAAATGTTTGCTTAGTTATTTTTAAACTGTTGGAGTTGTTTCATTCTTCTGGACTTTGTTTGAACCAACTCCAGAAGTTGTTGTTGCTCCGAACAACCTACATTCTACATATGTAATGGCCACTTACCAGTCACATCAAATGAAGTGGAAAAAGCAATATTACAACTAAAAAGCAAAGGCAAAGCCCTGGACCTGATAATGCATATGCTGAATTCATAAAAGTATTTAACACCGATGGTACTGAACGCCCAACAAAAACATTTAATGGCATATGTTTCAAGAACATGGCTGAAGTCAACGTTTATAGCTTTAACAAAGAAATAAAATCCGAATCCTTCAATGAATACTGGACCATTAGCTTAATGTGTCAAGGAACAATCAACCATACACAGTTTGGTTTTCGGAATGCTGTGGGTAGAGAGAGGCTCTCTTTAGCATGCAATAATTGCTATTTCAACGGTGTAGAGACGTGAATTGTGAAATTAATGCATGCTTCGTTAATTACGTTGATGGAGATATTAACAAATATTGGAATAAACACCTGTGATCTAAGAATTATTAGCAAAATCAATCAAAACATCAAAATCAAACGTCGGATCCGCCAGGGATGTATACTAATCACCCCTGGTGTTGAACAAATACTTACTCTGAAGACGTTTTATTAAGAATACAAAAGGAAAATTAGCTATTAACCACAATAAAAACAGCCAAAATCGAATATCTCTCACATCCTAAGGAACAGTGAACGATGTTGATTGCTGCAACAGGGAAACGTGATAGGAAAACGAGGACCAGGTGGATGAAGGATTTCCTGTATTGGTACTGTCCTATAATATTTTCGGTAAATATATACCGACATCTTCCAATATTTATTGTTGGCATCAACGAAGAATGAGAATATTATTGTCGATTTCTATTATTTAGGGAACTATATAACACAAAGTTCTAATTTAAAATTTGTTTTCTGTTTCTATATCATATCCCATTCAATATTTTTATTAAGATTAAATTATTTTTTTAAGTTATAAAACTACTTTACTACAAGTTGGATGTCTAAATTTTAAAAATTATAGTATAAATAGAAATAGCAGTAGATTATTTATATAAAACCCGTTATTCAGGATAATTAGGGAATTGTCAGTTACGCAAGAAATAATAAGATAAAAGTATATTATTCTTTAAACATGACAAATACCATTGAAACCTTTTCGCATATGGCAAAACTTGACGGAACAAGTGGCTTTAAATGATATATTTTCTCATAACCAATTTGTACTTTTTATCCTTATATAATATTGACTATTGCATGCATCACTTCTTGTGATATTTAGTTTTTGTTTTGCTTATAGATGGATGTAAGGCACCAGAATCGACGCATGGTAAGTCAGTGTTGGACTCACCATGCTTTATGTAATTTGCTATAAAACATGTGGGACTTTGCATGGGGTGCTTTCTAGTGTTGCATTAACATTACTTACATGCTCATATACTGTCGTGATGTGTCAATTAACCAACAATTTATACATAAAATTTAACTATTAATTTAAAGCGACATTCAAATTCGTGAAAAAAGTGTGTCAATTGTACAAGAGAAATCAACATGAGGGGATTCTCAACACTTTTTGGAGAATACCAAGCGATCCCACAAATATATGGTACCCATTCACTAAACCTGTACAAACTGGTACAGCATAAAAAAATGTAGTGACATTTCTTGGACATATAATGATATTTGATGTGGTCTTATAGCCTAAGTGGTAGTTTGATTCGTTATTGTAAGTCGTCAGATTTTATCTGTTTATAGACAAACTATAGACAAACACATTACAGCTTTTTTGAACACTTACTAATTTAGTCTCAAGATTTAACTCTCAGATGAACATAAAAAGTATTTGTGATTTAGAAATGCTCCTTTACATTCAAATTATAAATGTCGCGTAAGTTGGCATGATCACAAATTTAAATCTTGGTGCCATTCTTCTTCAACTGCCATCTCCGCGGCGAAGGTCGGCAATCATCGTAGTTATTCGGGCTTTTGAGAAAAGTTCATTTCATGTACATCCGTACCACAATCTCAGGTTGCGCAGCCATGACATTCTGGTCTCCCTATGCTTCTCTTTCCTTGGATCTTTCCCTGCATAATCAGTTGGAGCAAGGTGTATTTCTCTTCACATGTAATATGTCCGAAATATTCCAATTTTCTTGCTTTAATTGTATTTAAAATTTCTATTTCTTTATTCATCCTTCACATAACCTCTTTGTTTGTGACGTGTTCTGTCCACAAATTTAAATAGAATATGTCAAATACGGAATTGATGCTAAGTGTAAAAGCTACCTAATATCATATAAGTTGGCATCATCAGAAATTGAAAAAAATATATTTCAAATACAAAATTTAGCCTAATTAGAGTATGCTGTGAAATTTAACTGCTTGTTGCTATTTTGGCCATTTCCACAAAATGATATTTATTACTTCACGTTTCCATAGTAAACAAACTTCAACCATTCCTAAATGTAACAGACCAGTCTATGACTCAATATTTAAAACTAAACTATAGAAAGCAATGAGCTAGAGGCATACACTAAAAGTTTTCCACAAATATTAAAAGGAATAGATCAAATCATTTATGCTAGTCCAAAAAAAGTATCTCGGAAATGCTTTGACCGCTGCCTCATCTGTCTTGAAACTTTAACCACGTAGTTTGTTTTTGATTCTCGGGAACACTAAGAAATTACACTGTGCCAAGTCAGGACTGTATGCAGGATGGCCCAACAAATTAATTTTTTTCGCCTTCAAATACTCAGATGATATACGGGCTGAGTGAGAGCTGACATTTTAAGGGAGCGACGATTCCGGTTATTTTTCGGAGTTAATCAATGAATCAGTGAATCAACAAATGGTTATGTAGCATCCGTTGAATCGTTTGAGTGTGGCGAGGCATCGATGGATACCGTCTTCTTATGGACAGCAGTTAAATGAGGAATACAATGACTGTACATATTTCTCACTGCCAAACGGTCATGCACAATAAATTATTTGTATTTGACTTATTCATATGCCCAATGATGCCCAATCGAGCATTATAGTTTAGTTAGCCCAACAAATCATTGCACGAAAATTTCACGAGAGAGATTTTTTCACGAAACTGATTGTTTTGATAGTTTGTTGCTGCTAAACCACGCAATGCATCTGCAGTTTACTGTAATTTAGAAGAACTGATGTGAAGTTTGAATGAGTAATATGTTAATATCTTAAACGATCAGTTATAAATAGGACTGAGAATATAAATCGGAAATAGAGTTCAGGATTCAGCCTAAATCTGCTTTCTAAACGTTGCAAAGCCAGCAGACGACGAATGCACTGGTATGGGAATTTATAATTGTATCCACGTCTTGCCAATTTGTCTAAACAGAAATCTCTTCATGAAAATAATTTCCTAATACTTCATACTAGAGTAAAATTCACATGATTTCGCTCTGGTGAAGCCAAGAGACAAAAATATGCATATCAGCGAATGGTGGTAAGCTGTAACGAAATGGAACCTAAACCGTCTATTTTATTTTTATAAATAGGACTGTTTATGTACCATTGATGATTTCAGTCTGCTAAAAACGGAGAAATTAAGAAGATATATGATCTCGAGCAAATCTTCAGTAATTTGTAGATTTCAAAGAAGCCATTTGGTCTCATAGGCCTTTTTACACTGTAACATGAGATTTTTTTGTATATACCGTACATCTATCTTTGCAGACTTTCGGATATGCTTTAGCGCTTGCTGTCGAGACTCTTCTGGATTGATTATAAGTTTTTAAGATGAATGCAATTTAATCGACTAGCGGTTCAGTTACAAGAGTCTATCCAAATGAAGAGTAATATGGAAATATTGGTAGTAATATAGAAATCTCCCCAATACTTATTCATTTATCTTTATTCATTATTAATATCTTTAATGTCAGACGGCACCTCAATTAATAACCTACCTAAAGCACCTAAAATAAGCATGCTGCATCTATCTTCTATGGTAAATAAACGTTCCACCACTGTACTAAATAACCTTACTTATCATCATCCATCATATAAACATCCTTCGTTATTTATTATGCTAGAAATATATTTAATGTTTTATTGTAAAGATAATATGAATATGTATGCACGGAAGTAGCAGAAATACTGGTATTCATTAGACCACAGTCTTTGTGAGAATGTTATACTAAATGTACACTATACATTCGAAGTTCTTGATGTACTACGTTTACTATAAAACAAATAGCAGAATTGTATCCACCAATATTGGTATTTTGGTTAAAATTGTGTACAAAAACTTCGAATAACAACTAATTGTTACAGACATTCACCCACTTGTTCCATGTTGTATGTTGTTGCTTTGGTGTAAAAGTAAATTTAAGCATTTTAGGTGATCGAATTAATGAAATGTTTGCATATTAAATTTGGTAACTAGATTATAGGTTTGGATCGTAAAATGATTTATATTTAAACCCAACTAGAACTAATAGGAAGTTGTTGGAAGTTTTTTGGTTATATCCGTTTCAATAACTTAAAAAAATGTTATGAATACACAAAATTAACAAATGTTTATAGATAGCCGACTTGATAAGACTCTCTGGTGGTAATACTTGCTTGATGTTCTCTATAAGGCTCTTCGAAATAGCACTAGTAATTAACAGAAATATAGGTGTTGTTTTGGACAATTTGTCTTGTTCTCGTCTTGAACACGATATAGTCCCAATATAGATTGCAGTTATCATTCTCAATCATACTACCATGAACATATTTATAATAAAGGATATGGTTGGTTTTGATGAGTAGTTTCAGTTACAGTCAGACTGTTCCTTATATTCAGCAGTAGCAAACACCTGGCAGCCCCGGTAAAACGTTCGTAAACTTCTTTGGCTTGACTTTTATATCAGCATTTGTTATTTTGTTCCTGACAATCTTTGACGATATATTTCAGGAAATTTTTGGTCGAAATTTTTCAAAGCTGTATTGTTGATATAGTCCTGGTTGGTTGCATAGTAAGAATTTGTTTCCCAACTTGTGGTATTGTTCCCATAGGATATGCGATGTGATACAGATGTGCATCTTTCTAAAAATATTATGTCCGATTCAGTTCCAATTTTTTTTATTTCGGATGCTAAAATGATTTTTGTATTTTATGAATATTCAATTGTTCTTTTTTTAATATGAACTATGGAACATTTTTTTAGTAAACGTATTTTACTGGAAAACATCCTCTAAATTAGGCCGCTCAGAGATGTCTATGCTAGGTGAAGAGGTGTCATTTGTATAGCTTTACTATTGTCATTTTGATCTGGTATGTCCTTTATTTGGTCCGACCATCGTACTGGAGATCTTCCTCTGGGTCTTTTACCCGCTATGTTACCTTCAACTACCATTCGCTCCTTGCCTTCTCTTCTTCTAGTTATATGTCCAAAATCTCTCACTAGATTTTGGTTGATAGTTGTGATGAGTCTAGTTTTTATGCTAAGTTCTGCTAGAATTAAGTTATTTGTGCGATGGGCGGTTTATGGTAAAGATAGTGCAAACACTTGTGACCATAGAACATTCTACGGTAGACCCACATTTCAAATGCCATTATACGCTTTGAGTCGACTTTGAATATGTGGTAAGAGAATTGATTTTAGTCATTAATTGCAATGCTACTGTACGGTAATTACTGCAATCTGTCGGTGAACCTTTTCTATATATGGGAATAAACGTGAGTTTACCCCAGTCATTTGGCCACTTTCCGGTATTCCAGATCTCATTGCAAATTCCGTCAAAGGATTGCTTCCGTCCCTAATTCTCCCATTTCTTTGAGTGTTTCAGCTGTTATTCCATCTTCTCCTTCTGCTTTTCTGAATTTAAGCTTTTTAATTGCCGCCTCATTTTCTGATTTCAATATTTGAGGTTCTTTTTCATAACTTCTTTTTTCTGTATTATTGTCTGGGTCGTTGTTAGAGAATAGTATTTCGCAATATTGTTTCCACGCCTCTGTGATACTGTCTGGGCTTGTTATAGTATGTCCACTATTATCTTTGATGATCTGTGTCTGCGATTTGAATTCTCTCGCTAAATATTTGACTTTTGGGGAAAGTTCTCTAGATTCTTGGCGGTCAGCATGTTCCTCTAGTTGTACAAATATGTTTTTAATATAATTATTTTTGTCCCTTCTGCACAAATGTTTTATAGTTGTATTTATGGTTCAAATCTCTATTTCTTTTTGTTTTGAATTTGATGTGCAGTTTCTAAGTTTGCGTCTCCTACAAAATTGATAGTCTCTTCAGCCATCCAATATTTTTTCCTAACTGTTTTGTCTTTGGGATTAGTATTATTGATACCGTCAGTGATCCATTTCTTTGTATATTCCTACGTTTTGTCAGGGTCTCCGGTAGTCACTGGTAGGTAAGTTTATGCTAATGCTTCTCTAAACTTTTACGGGTGTTTTGGAATCAATTTTTGTCTTTTATTTGTAATTGTTTTACTGTGTAACTTAGGCGAAATTCTGCTTGTAACATTTTGTGGTCGGAACCACAGTCTGCAGCTGGTTGTCTTCACGTTGATTATTGAGCTCCTCCATCGTTTAGTAAGTGAGAGCGCCCACCAAAATGGCGTGGCAGTGGCAAGTACCAAGTAGCACGCGTCTAACATAATGTAACCAATGAAAACGAATGATTCAGTTTACACCAAAATGACAGTGACGTCATTCATTCTAATCATTTGTTTGGATTGGTTACATTATGCTAGACGCGTGCTACTTGCTGCTTTCCACTGCCACGCCACTTTGGTGGGCGCTCTCACTAAGAAGAAAATATATTTATTTTTTGTATCGTCCTCCAGGTGAAGACCATATTGATAATCCCCGCGGATAATGTTTATACATTGTGTTTCCTATACTAAGATCTATATCGATGGCTAATTAAAGAAGCTGTTCGTTGCGCTCGCCTATCGTTCCTTTCAAATGGTCATCTATTTTAGTTTTTCCTATTTTTGCATTCCAATCTCTTATTATCATCATTGGTTCTTTTTTAGGAATGTTGAGAGATGGTTTCCGTATCAGGTAGCATGTTTCTTCTACTATATCTTCTGCCGCTATGGATGTTAGCATATACACCTGTATAAAATGCATTTTGACTGGTTTAGCGTTCAGTTATTTTGATTATTCGATCATTTAGTGGAAGGTATTCATGTACATATTTTGCCCAACGTTTTTAATATTGCTACGCCTTTTTGTCCTGATTTCTTAACTCCTGACATGAAAACTTTGTAGTGAGGGGCCTCCCAGTGTCCTTGGCCTACCCAGTGTGTCTCCGATATCCCACAGATATCTATCTTTTCCTTGATGTTCATTTTCTAATATATACAATTTACCTGGCATTACATAACATTAACACACAAGTACTGTTTTTGATTACTTCTTATGGATTCTGAGGACATGGAATTTTTAATCAAATGTATATTTAAGAAAATATAAATTATCCAAACCTTATCTACTTACCGAATATAAATTTTTATAATGCAATCCACGATCATCATTATAATGTGACAATTTAAAACGTCATTATTAATATGTATTGGTTCTTCTTTTTTAGGATTCGGGTACCACTGCAGGTCAACGCTCACAAGCGACAAATCAAGCTAAAACCGGTCCGAAACAGCCCTACCAGACATCCTACTGGAACCAACCTTAAGAATATGGGTACATACTATAAAAATGCCTGCTCACTAATCATCCCACCCCGCCTCCTCTCATATAAAGAAATCTATAGGTGGTTCAGATTTGTTACTACAGTTATTAGCCGTAAATGTACTTTTAATGAGAAAATGTGAACAGTCCTTAATTATTTATTTTTAGTCTTAAAGGCTTTTCTTATATTTTGACTTGATGTGACTTTTTATAAAATAAATAGAAGCCTGTATGATACTTCTTAAATATTTTAAACAATTTTTATTATTTTTGATTATTTTTTGTATCTAGGGTAATTTAACAAGAATGAATTTAGGTTATTAATAAATTTGGTAAGCGTCGTTTCGCAATGTTGTGCAATTTATTTTTGTTTTTGAGGTTTCTGTTATGATACAACTTTGACCAATTCGCAACTTGTTTTTTATTAGTAAGAATGGTCAAAAGAAGTTATTTTTAATTTTAACGAGAGGTAGGGCTTATAGGATTCAACTGAGCAGACGGAAGTCAATTCGGAGTATTTCTTTTTTATGTTTTGGCAGAATAAGGTGGATTTCTTGAAGTTAATGAATATTCTGCTTAGGAAACTCAATTTTGTCTGTATCGTTATTTTGTTACCTAGTATTAAAAAATTGTAAATACGTTTAGATCATTTTATACAATAAATGTTGCTTGACGATTACGTATACAAATAAAATAATAAATAAATAAATATGAATGTTAAGTCAAATGTAAGCTGTATAGAAGAAATTGTTATAAGAATTCGAGAGGCAGTCTTCTTTGATAAACTTTTTTAAGTTCATTTTTAGTATTTTCGATTGAGTACACAGTCATAGTCAAGAGTATCAATCATCACAAAAAGGAATTATAACTTTTACATAATTATTTGAATAAAAAAGTTTTTCAACAGTTATTAGTATATATGTAACACCACAATTCAAATAATAAATTGATAAGATATTTTTACCCTTAGTTATTATTTGAGACATGTCCTCTACATCTGAATGAATTTTGAGCTCAGTAATTACATACGATGAAAGGGGTAACTACTGCGCAACCTATGGGAAAAAGAAAGATTTAGGATTTTAGTTGTAATACCCACAATATAAACCTTATTATCGAATGTAACACCAGGATCGCAAAAACGGAACTACCAAGCTTGACTAAAGACAAAACTTGTTCTTGGAAAATTCTTGAAAAACACCGAGAACCGTAGTAAAAAATATCACGCTGTCATTTATGGGTTTAGTTCATTAATCGAGAGTAAGTACTAAGTTGAAGCCACTTTGACCATCGCGGCCTCACACGTGACATAATGACATTTGACATAACGTGACACTTGACATAAAACGTGAAATTTGACAAAAGTGACATTCGACATCAAACGTGTTAATACGTTTTATATCAAATGTCACATTTTATGTCCAATGTCACGTTTTGTCTATGTCAAGTGTGGAAGCCGCAGATGTGAAAGTGCGCTTAAGTGGCTTAATATCTACTAGAGTAATGACTATAATCTATTTGCAGCCAGGAAAACGAGCACCTAAACAACTAACACTTGATCCTCGCCTACAGATGCATGGTACGACTCTCTCTATCGCTGTTTATGATTCTTAAGCCGTCTCGTCAGAAGCATGATCATAAATTTTTTTATGCCTTTGTAATAACTAATAAGGGTGTTATTTAATATCGACGGAGAAGTATAGAACGATATTCTGTTGTTTCTAGACTTTACAGTATAAATAGCAGATAATAGAACCAATGCTCGCGTCTACCGCTTGTTTTATATTTAAACTCTCAACGAAAAACTTTCCTCGATACAAACTCCTTCATAACTTGTTTTATGACTATTTCTGTCGTTGTTCTTAATAAAGTTATTCAACATTTTAATATTCAAGTTGTCATCTATCGCTGCCACTTCATACAAGATCTCCTTTATGTTATTCCTGTATCTACATATTTTGGGTTTTCTTTAGCAATAATAAGCGTTTAACTTTTTTGACGGCGAAGATCAATCTGGTAACAACAACTCCATGGATTTGAAAAATCAAAGAATATCGCTCACCTGCAACGTGAATTCATCATAAGAAGGCGGCAACAGTTTCTATGCATCGTTTGAACTTACACAACAACACACATTAGACATATTTAAATCTTAAAAAACCTTGCAACTCGAAAAAGGAAATGAATCCTAAAACATTACCAATTTTAATATTACAATGAATTCAATATAAAGTAAAACGACTGTTTATAAGAAAGAAAATTTAATTTAAAGAAAAATATTAATTACTCGCAACTATTTTACCAATGCAAAAACTAGAGTTCGACTCTTGTCCTGCTATGAGAACGCGTTGAAGAAAATTCAATGTTTTTTAGTAATGTTGAATTTCATCGTTTGGTTCCTAGATCGATGTAAAAATGGATTTATTTTATCCTTTCCGGAAGACAATCGCTAGAAAAGGGAAAATGCAAATCGTTTTAATTGCATCAAACGCATGAACTTTGCCTTGAAGCTTCATGAGCTACAATTCCGGATCTTGAAATTATTACGACCCGTATGGAATGTGTTAAAATCCGGGGCGGTTCTGAAGGTGGTTCTCCTTAAAGCTTCATGAGCTACAATTCCGGATCTTGAAATTATTACGACCCGTATGGAATGTGCAACCCGGGGTGGTTATGGGCTGACTGCACAACTTGCTTTCATCTCAAACGGTCGTCCATGATAATTGGGTCTGTGGTTAGCCCCAATGTTCTTAAATCTGACCATATTTTATCTTCTCCATTCGTGGGCGTCTTCAGGTCTTTCTCTCTGTCGGGCCTCAAAAATTAACTTGGCAAGGCCGTTATTAGTGAGCCTATGGATATGGCGTAACCTATCTTAGGCATTGGGATTTAATTTCTTGGACAATATAATATTCGGGTCGTTATAGGATCCGAAGGTCCTTCTGAGGATTTTTATTTCCATTGCTTATGCCAGCGTCCACGTCTCGCACCCATATATCACGGTATAATAACTGTTTTTATATTAATTACTATTTAAATGGGAATAAGCCACAATTAAAGGTTAAAGTAATCTATTGATGTTTCAATTTACTAATGTTTGTATTTTGAGAACGATTTGCGAAGTGGAAATTAAATCGTCAATAAACTACTTTAATCTTTAATTTTGGCTTATTCCCATTTAAATAGTAATTACTTTAAAATGCCACAAGAAAATAGAACAATACTGTTTTATATATCTCGCCCCGAGATATTTAAAACGTTCCACTCTTTATAAAAAGTTATATGGGTCGATTGTTATATTTTTCCCCGTTCTGTCATATTGTTATATTTGTTCACATATTTCTCGATTTTTTACCAATTGATGCGAAATCGCTGACTGAATCTCCACCATCACCAGTCTAGAACAATTATGGAAGTTATAATTCCTAAACATTGAATATTAGCTTGAGTAATGATTAAGTTTGTTGATGGCTCAGACATGGCTGTACTTATCTGTCATATTGTCTAGATTTGTGATAAAAGAAATTCTATAGTTTGACAATCACTTTGTGAATTATCTTTATTTGTAGTTTTATATATAGCACTACAATATTTTGAGTTTTTCAAGCAGAATAAATCTATTACCTATATTTAGATCCTTTGTGGTGCGAACTTTTGGTAACTACGAAACGGTGTAGGAAAATTTGTAAATTAAAAAACTTTTGTACTGACCCGACCCCCCTACGCAAATTGTGAAGTTTTGTCTGTGCATACACATTTAGGGTTAGATCAAGCAAACAGTTGGTAAAAATTGGCTTACCGATGATGCACAGTTGCATGACTGATCTTGTGTCGGCCATATTGTCCCGTCAAAGAACTGTCAGACGGTACGTTAAGGCATCGCTTGTTCCCCAACGGGACTTTCGTGGCACGAAATAAGTTTTTAAATACATAGTTAGATTTATTAATTATTAAATTTAAATTATCTGTACCTATTGCTATTTGTATAAAATATTCACTTTTATTATGTAAGCACCTGTATATGTGTAGTTTTGATTTTTGTATTTGCCAATAACCTATTGAGATATGAAGAAAATACACATACATACATTTTCAGTTTGATGTGTATTGTTTATTGTATTTTATATTTCTTTTTTTATTGTAGAAAACGACAATGAAAAGTTAATAAAATCTAATTTATGTACAATTCTGTTTTTACTGAGAATAACCTCACCTCCCTACAACTTGATTCTGACGATCGATCTTATTGAGATGCTATACCGTCACTCGGGGTGAATCCGGACGATTTTCGCCGTTTTTTGTCAATAAATCGTTTGAAGTAGTTCTAAAAAATTCCAAAAAAATAATTTAACTCTTTAATGTTTCAAGCATAAGTGATTCTGATAAAAGTTTTAAAATTTTACTGCTACACTTGGGTTATTTAGTGTCCGAATTCGCCCCTACGTGTGTGGTGAAACCGGATATAGCATTATTTTGTATTATAAAATTATTCGACCGTGAATGGGGGTTAATTCGGACAGAAAAAGATAAAAAACTTTTGGACAGAAAAAGAATAAGATAAAAAAACATTTTAAATTAAAAAAAAAAATTCGACAAAGCAGCATGAATATAAATAAAACCAGGCTCATTAATTCTAAACACATTCTATAAAATAAGACTAACAAAAAGTCTCATATCCGTCACTTTTCAAGAATTTTAAAAATTTGATTCCCCTTAATTACACTTTCATCTTTTATTTGAGGATACGTAAAATAGCCCCATTTTTCTGATGTTTGCTTTCTGAGAAAATTAACAAGATATTTTTCTACTTATCAATTACCTCTGTAACGTTCCCAACATAGTATTTATCTACATTATTTAGTGAAACTAATTTACCAAGTACAAAAGTATTAATGTCTATAGAATAATCAGTCTCACCCATTTCAATTTGTTCACTTTTAACCTCAGCCTCGTCTTCAGTCTGCAGCTCTGTTCCACTTTGGCCATCCTCACTACTTGTTCTATATTCTTCAGTTTCCCTTTCTTCTCAGATTAATCGGAGAATTAAGTCGAACCAGCCTGACTTTGTTGTTCTAAATCTCGTACGCTTACCCCTTTACCTGCAGGCACCTGTAACTTTTTGCCCCGTGTTTTTAAACGTTCTTTGGTTACGCCCTGTCTACTTTCCTGAAGAAAGTTTTGAAGAGTGTTGGTCCAGTGGTCATAGCTTTCAGTTTCTGAAGGTTCACTAGCTGGTAACTTTTTGATGACGT